GTGGGGAGTTCTGGCGTATTTCTCCATCACATACCATAAGGGATCGCATGGCGCTGCGTCAAAGCCAATTTAACCGGCTAAGCGGTCATCGACCACTCACTTCTGGACTCAGTCTTGAATACCTAACGGACAGCGGATAAACAACCTTGCTACCCACCGGCTTCTGTATGGACTGCTAAAGAACATAAAGAAGGCGAATAAACCACTTGGCTGTCAACGGTCTTCATATTTAGCAGCTGCTTGGACGTTTCAGCTACATGAGTGAATCGCTCACGCTGTCCTGCGGATTAGGTCTTTACGAACAAAGGCTCGGGGTGGGTCTCTTAAGTCAAACCTCTTCCTCGTCCTGGGCAACCGGGAAGTTTTCTGCCCCCACAACAGATGGAAGCTTGTATCCTATCACTTGACTGCCGCTTTTCTTGTTTTGTAGTTACGCATGTGTTGTGGCGCTCTGCAAATCGTTTATTGGTCAGTTTTTGAAGATATATATATATATATTTATTTATTTATTTATATAAACGAAAAGTGGTTAATTTCGTTAACTTTATTCACGTTTGATCTTTGTTTCTGCCGTCTCGAGTTTATCGCGAATTTTGATAACGAGTTTATTTCATATGCTTATTTAGTTAAGACTTGTCGATATATCTTTATGTATTATCCATGATGAATTAGCTGAATTATGCCAAAATCCTCACTACTCATCAGTAGCTCGGACATACGACCAGGCGTCTATCAACAAAGATAGCTGAGCACTGTCCCGGATCTCTAGGAAAAGGCACTGCTGAAAGTATCAAACGTTCCATCCTTGAACATCTGGTTCAAAGTGGACACGAAATTCCGATCAATGATGCTTTCAACCTATTCAACATCTTGTCAAAAAGATATCCTAAGGGGATTAAGAGACGCCACCTTAATATTGCGGAATCGATAGCAATCAATTTAACGCAACCGGAACTTTGCAAGTAGAGGATACTACTGCAATCTCTCACGCTGCCTTGGCAGTGATAAGGATCCATTCGCATGGAACATTGATGAGACTAAAGGTGGCATCACTTCTCTGCCGACCCAATTTGCTTCGCGAAGTGGTCAGCAAACTGTGTCAAGTGGGTCAAATAAGGTCAGCCTTCATCGACAACACAGGCTTTACCAATTGGCCCGATCAATTTAACTTCCGTCCGAATGAATTCAGACTCTCTCCTACTTTCGCTTCAGCTTTCATAGGCATATGAGTATCCCAGTTGTGCTTGTAAACGCATTTGCCTGATGTGAGTTACCGAAAAGTGATCACTTTGCAACGGTGTTTTCTTATCCGATTTTTTGATCCGTTATTGTCATTTCAAGCGATTGGCTGTTGCTTGATATCCCCGGTGTGGCTGCGCTTGATATGCATGTTGACAATGTGCCTACCTGTCTATTACCCACTACCTCGTCCATGCTGGCTCAAGGAGACAGTTGGCCGTTGCTGGAGGGGACGGAGTGCACGGTCCTTGTGGCCGTGCTAGGCTCGAAGAGTGGTTCCATGCAATCAGTGTGGAGAGAAATAAGGCCAAGTCACCAAATTGCGTGAGCATGATTCCCAACTACAGCGTGGTTGTGTTTGCCTGTGAAGGAGTGTGTGCCGGCTCCGTTGATGAAACATGGCTCCCATCCGCATGCCTCCCAGTCTTATTCCTTCGGGTTTACACTGGATATGGGATGTGTGGTTGGAGCTGCGTGTGATGCAGCGCAAGCCACCCATGGTCCCTCTGTAGGCGCATACATCCTGTGGCTGGCCACAGTGACAGGCAAATCCGGAACCGGATGCCGCCAACCATATATCACGATGGTACAAAACGGACAGCTCCTAAATGTGCCAAACCGCACTGAGCAAATGAGCATTAACTGTCATTCGTTTCGCGCTATGCTCTGCGCACTCAAAGTGCAAATTCCTCCAAGATTTGCAGGGATCCACCCCTGCGCGGAACCTAAGTGGTGATCAGTTAGAAAAGATGCAAATCTTTAAGCATCTAGGCAGCCATATTAGCGCCTGTGGAATAGTATACGAGGGCGCGAACCGTATAGCATAAGCTCATGGCACTTTTGGCAATCTCCGCCACCTGTTGTGCCAGCGGAACATCACACTCGCCTTGAAAAGCAGAGTGTTCAATCCTGCCGTTCGTTCAACCCACCTTTACTGTTGCGATACCTGGCCCACGCGGTCCACATAAGGAGGCTAGGTAAGTTGGGCGATCGCTGTCTTCTCAGCTTAGCTCAAGTCTGGTGGGAACACCGCGTGAGCACTCAGCGTGTTCGGCACCGCGTGCGTAGTGTCAAAAGAGCAAGTGAACCGCTCAGTACCGTTATACTACACACCAGACTCCCATGGCTGGGCCAGGTGTTGCGCATGCCAGCCCACCGACTTCCTCGTCGTACATTGTTTGCGCGCCGGGGTGTGGACGGAAGAAGAGGAGACGAAGCCAAGCTGTGACTTGGTCAAGAGTAATGAAGGCCCTCACTTCGAATTTGGCGTCTGTTAGTCTCCCGACTGCCTGGCTGGGGTCTGAAAGGCGATGAACACGTTTGGCTGGATATAGTTGCTGACGTGGCGAGGAACAGACCACAGTGGCGTTTGTGTTCTGAGTCGCTTTGTCTCTCCCCATCCCTTTTAGCCTCTCTCTCCAACCGCGTTCTCATTTCTTAGTATAATATAAAATTTTATAACAGTTATTTTTGCTGTTCAGTAGCCGGCTGGTAGCTTTTCGTAACGATGCCCATCGGTTACTGGTAGCCCAGCTGACGTGCACCTGTTGTATATTTTCTTTTGATGCATTGCGGTACAATAGCTGAGGTGTATTCCACCCCTATCTAAGGTGTGTAATGATGATACTAATGATCCCGCATGGTTTCGCACATCACGCCTTTTACGTTGGATGTATTTCAGGCACGCGAAGCTGCCTATGAAGCCGAACAAGCACGTATCCGGCAAGAGAAAGAACTAGAAATAGCTCGCCTACGTGCACTACAAGAACGTGCCTCCGATGAGGCGGCCGAGCGAGATGCACTTCGTGCGAAACGTGCAGCCGAAGCCAGAGAGCGTGAATGGCGGCGCAAGGAGAAAGAAGAAGCATTGAAGAAGCAACAGACTGAAGATGAGTTGAAACGCGCTCGCGTTGCGCAAGCAGAAGAACGCAGGCGGTTATTGGCCATTGAAGCTGGACGGGAACGCGCAGAATTTGAACGAATTTTAAGGTAACTGAACCCAACTCTTATTTGGTTGTGTACCGATTCTTATTGTTTCCTCTGAACCATAACAAATGTGGAAGATAGTAAAGGAAGAACAAGAAATGGTTGGTTTGTGTGTTTCAACATACCGATTTTAGTGTTTTTGCTTTTCGATTGAACGTTAACTTTTAGATGATACGGCAAAACAACGTTGGTGTCACTAATATCTGTTGCGGGTCATAACATCCAACATCCGCAGCCATAGGGAGTCCGTGTCGCGTGGTCTCCAATCTAGAAACCGGACCGGCCCGATTAATGCCATGCTTGAGGTTGTTTTCTTCATGCTGCTTCTCCACTTCTTTGGTTGTCCACCTTGGCACTTTTTCCGATGGCTCCCTGGAAGGGCAAATAACTCCATTGAGGAGGCTATGAGCTAGTATACGCAATATATGGCCGAGATATTTCTTGTGGGGTCGGTGGATGACCCTTCGGAGACAAAGACTGTTCGCTCTAAACCAGGTATGTCCAAAGTCCGGCCCGCGGACCAGTGCAGCCCACGTTAATGTTCCAACTGGTCCGCGACCTCATCCTGAAATAGAAACTTCAAGCTTGGATTTTTTTCTGTGCATAGGATATTATTAGGTTACAAAAATTAAGGACATTATGAGTACGAAATTAAATGACGTCAGTTGCTGGCAGAAATTAGTGATGCAGTGTCGTTTATTTTTAACCAACTAGGAGAAGTCAATCTAGGGCTTTTACTGTAGGTGTTTGACTAAAGCAAAAATTAAAATAGATGAGTTCGTTAACTTATATACAGATGTATATATATATATATATATATATATATATATATATATATATATATATATATATATATATATATATATAGGACTAGATATCAAACAACAGCCAATAACTTGATGTGCATGTTGACAAGGTGCCTACCTGTCTATTACCCACTACGTCGTCCATACTGGCTCCAGGAGACAGTTGGTCGTTGCTGGAGGGGACAGGGTGCACGGTCCTTGTGGCCGTGTTAGGATCAAAGAGTGGTTCCATGCACTCAGTGTGGAGCGGACTACGGTCCAGCCACCGCCTTGTGTACGCTTGATTCCCAAATACAGTGTGCTTGTGTTTGCCTGTGAGGGTGTGTGGGCCAGCTCCGTTGATGAAACGTGGTTCCCATCCGCATGCCTCCCGGTCTTATTCCTTCGGGTTTACACTGGATATGGGGTGTATGGTTGGAGCTGTGGGTGGTGCAGCGCAAGCCATCCATGGTCCGTCTGTTGGCGCAGGCGTCCTGTGGCTGACCACAGTGACAGGCAAATCCGGAACCGGATCCCGCCAACCATATAGGACTAGATGAAGCTAGCCTGTTCTGAGAACATTGTTTTTGTTTTATAGGTTAACCCTGACACCAAGTTGTTGTTGTGCTATAATTTACTCTAAGCGGTGCTTCCTTAAAGCCACAACAGTGTTAATCTTTCTGATTATTTACTTCCGGAAAAAGCAAAACTTTTCTACTCTACACTTTCACAACCTATGTGATAAAGGGGTTTTAACGGAACTGAAAAAATAAAAAGGCGGATTCGTTTAATTCTTTATTTATATGATTTTCATTTCTGTTCTCGAATGGAAACTGCGACTAAAAAAGAAATGTTAATGATGAACGGCGCCGCTTCCAAGAAAACTGGAAACTGGTGTAATTTTCACTGAACGACCGAACAACTGCATGTGCCTGATTCATTTGATGACTGGGGCTGTTTTCAAAGAATTTACTATCATGAGATACTACCAAACGAAGCATGTTACGACAACTTGACTAAAAATGAACGAGTTTTAACAACTGAAGCAACTAGAAGCTGGTATGATCTCACAGAAAAACTTGGTTGCAAGAATCGGCCAGTTGCATGTAAATGTGGCAAAGCCGTTACGTAGTGGCAGATCTAATAGCGAAACACTGCAAACCATTTACTGTAGGTAAATTTGTCAAAAAAAGATATGATGAAAATTGTGTGACATATCTGCCCTGGGAAAAAGTAACCGTTTGTCAATGTTTGCCTGGCAGGCAACGCTGTAGTTCACAGAATTGAAGACATCTCTGATATTGTAAAGCAATTAGAAGCAAAAGGAGGGTAATTTGACTTCTATCGATATGCTGTGTTGAAAGTACTGATGCATATGACACTACCCAGCTTCGCCTTTGTGAAAGGAATCAAGGAGGACACATGTGTAAATGAAAAACTGCTTGACCTTCAGAGTCTTAAGTACCAAACAAGAAGAAAATATTTGCTTCCGTTTCTTCTACAAGCATTAACACTAAAGCATAATGGAAAATGTTCCCTGGAATTATAACGGACGATGCTCCAGCCATGAATAGCGAGCATAGTGAATTTGCAGCCGGTTTCTGTAACAAACTCAGCGAAACAGGACGCAAAGCCATTAAGCTGCACCGCATCATTCACCAACAAGTTATTTGTGCCAAACATCTTAGGTGTGATCATGTTATGAAGCCAGTGATAAAAGCTATCAACTATCTTCGCTCTAAAGCCCTGTTTCATCGTCAGTTTCAGCAGTTTCTACTTGGCATTCAGGGTGAATACGAAGATATCGTGCGCTACAATGATGCAAAGTTCCTCAGTCGAGGGACTGCACTTTATCTCTTCTACCCTTTCAGAAAATGAATTGAACAGTTTGGAAGATTGGAAAGGCAATTTGAAGTACACGTTGTGTGGATGGATTGCGACGCGCAATCTCAAAGTGGACCGCGATTCCCATTGAAGTGAATCTTGGCCACTTTGAGATTGCGCGTCGCAATCCATCCACACAACGTGTACTTCAAATTGCCTTTCCAATCTGCCATTAACCGTTGTGCCAAGCTTTGCCCGTCGTGACCCGGTGGCTTAGGGGTGGCGGTCACAACTAACATCCCAATGGTCCCGGGCTCGATGCCTGCTATCTCTATCTGATGAGAGGAAATAACCTCGAAACGCGTCATGGAGTGCAGTGGTTTCAGGCGGGCAACACCCAATTCGCTGCTGCTTCATCAGCTACGGTCCTAGTGATCGAATGGCCAAGATTCACTTCAATGGGAATCGCGGTCCACTTTGAGATTGCGCGTCGCAATCCATCCACACAACGTGTACTTCAAATTGCCTTTCCAATCTGCCATTAACCGTTGTGCCAAGCTTTGCCCGTCGTGACCCGGTGGCTTAGGGGTGGCGGTCACAACTAACATCCCAATGGTCCCGGGCTCGATGCCTGCTATCTCTATCTGATGAGAGGAAATAACCTCGAAACGCGTCATGGAGTGCAGTGGTTTCAGGCGGGCAACACCGAATTGAACAGTTCATAGAAAGTAAGGGACAGTCGATGCCAGAACTGTCTGATCCTGCTTGGCTGGCTGATTTTGGATTTTGGTTGATATTACACATCACCCGAACTTGTTGAACTAAAGCCTTCAGGATCAAAATGTAGTGGTATGCCAACTGTAATCAAACACATCGAAACCTTCAGGAATAAGCTGCAACTTTTCCAAAGACAGCTATCTCAAACGCGGCCTAATACCACACATTTTCCATTACTACATGAAATCAACACAACTCGTCCAGAAAGTAACATCAATGCACAAATGCACAGGGGTGCCGCAGATATTGTATCACTGGCTGATGGGTTTCAGAGGCGCTTTTAGGAATTTGGAGCCAACGAAAACGAGAGCGGGCTTTATACTTTGCCCTTCTCAATGGACCCTAACAATACTCCAGACTGGAGCTCATTGAGTTTCAAAGCCATGTTAGATGTCACAGTCGACACCAACAACTCTGTCACCAAACCTACGACGAGCTGGATAAAGAGGGATTCCGAAAAACTGGGACATTTGCCAAGAAAATGATCAGGTTGTTTGGCTCGACATAGTTGTGTGAGCAGACACTATCATTTTTTTCTCATCATCAGTACTATCATTTTTGTATTTTAACAGGAACCGTGTGAGGAAAAGTCTAAATGATCATCACCTGCGTGATATCTTGCGTATCAAAACCAGTGCCTTTAAGCCTGACCTAACCAGTTTGCTGAAGTCATGATCTCATTTCCATCATTCACATTAAAACTTACAATTAAGAATTTATAACACATTATTTCTGGTTATTGTCTAAATATCAGGCTGAAAATGACTAGACATATTTTTACCTCACGAAATGTGGCCCTCCTAGAGAAAAGTTTGGACACCCCTACTCTAAGCACTGGCGCGAATTACCATATTGTTTACGTGATGATATCGTCATACGCGAGAGATCCTACACAGAAAATGGTTGTCAAAAACTGACAATCGTTTCATGTCTTCTGCGCGAACATGCCAGGTCTCACAGCCGTACAACAGGACCACCCGGACAAAAACACGACCTTGACACTGATATCGCAACGACGCAATATTTTCTTCAACTGGTGGGCCGTTGCGATCCGTTGGGAGACCTCCTCTCCAACACCGGAACCAGCTGTGATGCAGCTCCCTAGATAACTGAAGCAACCGGCTTGTTCTAATATATCACTAGTAGTGCTGAGCGCAGACACAAGCGCCTAAAGGGTACTGGATCGATGTTTTACGTTTGGCTGAGTTGAAGTGCAAGCCGTAGTTGTACGCCTACATCGCTAAGCGACACAAAATATGTTGGGCGATTCGCGAATCGTCTCCGAACAAAGTGATATAATTTGTGTATGCCATACCCGCCATCCTGTCCCCAGGGCAAAGCTTAACGCTGCAGTTCTGGACACCTTCTATTGCTCGTTGGACATCTTCGATGACGAATTAAGGATGAAATAGGGTAATCTTAAACGCAGTTGGTGACCATAAATGAAGAGGAAAGCCTGCCGTAAGCTTCAACTTTACCTACGTGTAATTGTACAATTTCTTCAAATGGTGAACAATTTTCCTTAATAAAGATTTCCACAAAACGGACCCACCCACTGAATCAACTGCCGCTAGGATGTCCAAAAACACTGTGGTTACTAGACGTCGGTGGACGTGGCGAA